TGATTTACCCTCTGGGTACTTAGGTTTGATGTAGTTGTAGTGAAAGTCATACATCAATGTCTTACTAATATCAAGGATGCTCATCCCGAGATAGAGAGGTTTATTGAAGAGAATTTGCGTCTTTCTCATGTGCATTGCGCACAGATCTTCGGAGAAGATGGTGCAATGTTTGAAGTTGACCTTATTTGCCAACTTTTTTGCCTTCTCTTCTCTGGTAACAAGTCTCACGTCAACACGTTTTCGAATGTTTTCCATCGTTTTGCCAAAAACAGCGTTGCTCATGAGCTTGAAGAAGTCTTTTTCAAAGTCGTTGTCAGCCTTGGTTCTTAACTCTGTGTTCAAATCGATGTACTTCTTCATCCAAGGACTCTCATTGAACCTAATGACGCGGTGAATCTTTCCAATCTCAATTCCAAGACTCATGTATTGTTTTAATATCTCGTGATGAACGATGTACTTTTTCTTTTCGTTTAACGTACAGACCAGCTTATGGACTTTCCCAATCAACAGATTCTCAGGGGCGGGTGGATAGTCGTTGAAGTGATCGTGAAGCTCTTCTTTGACACCTTTCAAGTCAACTTCGAGAATGCAGGGGAAATCTCTCCATTTTTCAAAGTCTTTTTCATCTACCCATTTAAAACCTCCTGTCGGCAGACTCTTACTCATCGCCCAAGCGTAGAGGGCGTTTGCATCGAGATACGTGATGAACTTTGAAGGTTGGGTAGGGTCAAAGGTTTTTTCCATGTATTTGTTATTGGCTTTTGCATGCCTTGTCGAAATCATTGAAATCCCACCGCGAATACCAGCCTCAAACATGTGCAACATATTTATATCGCTCAACAACTCAAGTTTTACCTTAGTCAACTTGAGACAAGCATCCCAAGCCAAACCCGGTGCGGTGAAGTACCAACAAGGGTCGAGATCATAGTTTTTTTTGCAAAGCTCTCGAAAGTTTTCAAACACATCGGCTAGTAAAAGAACGTCGCTACGATTGTAGAGATTGTGATAATCTCTGAATGTCTTACATCGAAAGACGCTCCACACCTTCTGAGCATGGATATAGTCTTTCTTTGAGATACCTCCACCACTTAACTTGGAGAAGAAAGCTTCTTTCGGTGGAAGTTGTGGCTCATCAAGCTTGTGTATAGAGTCCATCCATTCATAAGGATAAACACCCTTTCTCATCGACAGTTTAAGCTTCTCTCCAGAATAATATTTTCCTGTATTTCGAAAGAAAGACTTGCCCTTTTTGACAAGGTTTTTGACAAGCGTGTCAAGACTGGAGGCCATGAATTTAAAGCTGTCAATAAACCTCAACTCTCTCTTTACCTCAACGAGTTTGTTTTCCTTTTTATTAAAAAACTTGTCAACCACAACGTGTTTTGTAAAGCTAATGTATTTCTCTTCGTTGTTTGGTATGCAATCAATGTCACCCTCTGAAACACCAAGATTTCTAACGAAGAGATGGGCGTCATAGTTTGCCAAGTTGTGAAACACCACAAGTGTAAACTTGGGACGCTGGTCTCATTGATGACAAAAGTAATAAAATGGATTATTGGGTGGAAGATCCGTTCTCTCTATGTCTTGTATTATCTTTAAATATTTCCCCCCGATTAACAAACCTGTAGATCCTAACGAGAACAATGGCGACAAATTCATTCGCGTCAGAAAAAAAAACAAAAACACAAAGCCAGGCATGGTTTCACAAGCTAGTCAACAAGCCTATATGTTGAAAAAGTAATTAAATTGTCTATGGGGTCAAGCGAAGTATTTGTCTCGTATTTTTGTTTTAGTGAAAACCAAAAATTTTCCGTAGCTATCTATTTATTATCTCCTGCCATATTTTCGAGCTTGTTGCTGTGCACATGCATTGTAAATGACAAGCAGTGTTTTCGGAATTTAACATAAAGCAGCAAACAGTTGTATTAAGAAATTAAAGATATTTGTTGGTGGCCCAGTGAGGGCTCCATGTGATGGAAAGGTATGAATAACCCGTCTTTTTGCTCTTTTAAAATTTGAGCAAATAAGTAGTTTATCAGCCGGTAAACCAATAGCAAGTGCGGTTTATTGCTTTTACGACATAAACATGACAGAGTGAATTTCGTTAGAGGGAATAAGATAAATCCAATCTTGTTTCGCGATCAAGTCGCTGATTCCCATGAAAACCGTCAAAAAGTGCGATAAACCAATCAAATCAACGGAAACTGAATGAAACATCAGCCAGAATAGCGAAGACTGTAATTAATTTGGCGTTCAAAGTGTCCTCTCCGGTTCCTCTAAACCATGGGCCTTTACCAAATTGAATTCAGGAAATTCGCCCCGTGTGGCGCCATTTCACAGGACGGGAAGATGTTTCGGTATTTAAGGTTACACAAGCAAATAGATTTTTGACCGTTCAGAGCGCACATTGTGTCTAAGTTATATACAGTTTAACGTGGGTTTGAGTCGATGAATGAACAGGAAAACGCGCGCATTGTCGTATGTAAATTAGCAATTCGCTTGAATAAAATTTTAATTTCTTCAGTTTGTGAGCCATATAATGAACAATTTAAGAGAGATTGTCTTTTGGAGAAAAGAAAAACAACTTCTATCGTATTGCAAGCATTTATTATTACCACTGAAG